CCCCTTCCGCTCTGTCAGCCTCTGGCCGCTTCTTCGCCAGCTCCACGGCGGCCGGTCCCCAGCACCCTCAGGCCCGCCTGGCTCTCGGGTGGCCCGTTGTCGCCAGCCCTTCCGCCGCGCTCGGCCCTTCCCGCTGTCTCTGCGGCTGCCACGGTGGCTTCCCCGTCACTGTGGCGGAGCAGTTGCCACTCAGCCTGTCCCTTTACCCTGCACTCTGCCCTCTGGCCAACTGGGTCTTCTGGGCCCGTCCTCTCCCACGGCCCAAGCCAGCTACCTGCAGAGGCGGAGCCCTGGGATCCAGGTGGGTGTGGAAAAAGGAGGCTCATCACTGGGGGGCAGGGGTCCCTGTCGTTCGGAAAGACAGGACGTCCCTCTGGTAGGCCTGAGAGCCCTCGTCTTCCTTTTGGGGTTCACAGCATTCAGCCACGCTTTCTTTACAGGAATACTGTGTCTTTGGGGTGCGAGTGGCCAGTCTATTTTTCCAGACTCCATTTTGTCTTTTTCATTTTGACGATGGAGCAGCGTTTGCCTTACAGCTGGTTTCTGTGTTGTTTATTAAGCAGTGGGATTCATCGGTCTTTTCTGTGCGGCTTCTCTATGGATGACATGCTTGGAAAGGCCGTCCCTATTCTGAGAATATAAAATTTTTAATTTTTACTTCTAAAATTGTTACATTGTTTCATCTTTTGCCCAATTGGAATTTGTGTTTGTGTGTGTGTTTGTGTGTGTGTGTGTGTGACAGAGAGAGAGAGAGAGAGAGAGAGAGAGAGAGAGAGAGAGAGACAGAGAGACAGAGAGACAGAGAGACAGAGAGACAGAGAGACAAAGAGGTATCTTTCCAGATCTTAATCTGGAATTTTTTAAACGTCATTGGGTATGAAATTATGCCCCAGGAGTCCTTAAGCTAAACTGAACCAGCCACACATCAACTGGCATAAAGGTTCCCCAGGATAATCAGATTTTATCTGCTACTCAACCCTCACCTCTCAGTAGTATTGAAGAAGGGCCTTTGGGAACCCCATAGTAGAGGCCTCATAGCGTCCCTAGCTTCACTTTTCCTTGCTCTACAGCTTCACAATAGATTGTCCCTAGCAGCTTGACCCAGAGCTTGGAACGTCCCCTGCCTTAGAAAGTTGCCCTGAAACTTACAATTAATGCCTTTATGCTTACTGATCAAATCCATCTGGTTCAACATTTTTTCCAGAGTACTCTCATCTTTGTTCTTGGGTTGCTGACGCCACCGGAGGACAACGTTGCCAGAGGAATGGCTCCATGAAGCATAACAGACCCCAGGAACTATCACGTAGGCTCTGGAATAATGCCCAGATTTTCCCTTAAATACCCTAAGCCAGACTGAGAAGGCAAGGCAGTTTTTGAAGGTGTTAACCCTCTGCCTTCTCAGATCACCGTTGCTCTGACAATAAACACTTATTCTAAGTATCCCAACTCCTGTGTTGATCTATTGGCTGAGCCGCACAGGCAGCACGAGCCCTGGACTCGTTGCCCTCCAGTTACAATATTTCCATTTATCTTTTTTCCTGGCCATTTTTTCACATCTGGAAGAATCTGGAAGTAGATTCTTGATACAATGTGACTCAGGATGGCTGGTTTATTAGTAGATGTCACTGTGTATAGCAACATCCTTCAGCTAGTGCTTAGAGAGACTTGAGTCACAGGGCTCAGTGACAGAAGATTCTCTTGCAGATGATGTACGCTCTGGACCAAATGGGCCACCCCTGCTGCAATCAGCATAGAGACTCAGAGGGTCTCATGGGGAGGCTGCTTCTCATGTTCTCTCAGCCACCTTGGTACAGAGCTGCCTTCCTGGGCCTAGCCCTCAAATTTCTATGTCAAGGTAACTTGTTAGTGGGGGCCCAGCTTCTCCAAAAGGACTGTTAGGAGGTAAACAATGCTATTTCTTATATCCAATGAGACTTAGTGTTTTAGAATCTCTCTGGTGTCCCGTGGTCTCAGAGGATGCTGGCTTTCTGACCAGAAGGAACCGAAAGGAGAAAACCTTCCAAATGTATCCCCTCTCCTGGGAGCTAATGTCACTGATCTCTCAGGAAGCTCAGCTCTGCTCTCTGTGGTCACTTGACTAAAGCAAAGTCCATTTGCAAGACTGAAGAAAGTAACAAATGCTGGAAAGAATATGAGATGACATAAGAACATCCAAACCTGTAGAAAATTTTTATAAAAATTTATTTGAGCCAAACAGAGGATACAAGATCTCAACAGATTGAGAAAAATGCTTCCTAGAATGAGTCTTTTATGCATTTGCAGATAAGGAAAGAACATAAAAAGATTACATGAAGGTTGGAGAAAGCAAGGCGAGGATTGGATTACAGGATAGTTTGTTATAGGATTATGTGCTCCCTTGAGGGTGGTTATGCCTCTAAGGAGTCTGAGAATGAGGATTACTCTGGTATTTCAAAGATGTGTTAACTTAGATGCACAAGAACAATGAACAGGGCTGGCTTAAAACTTTTTACTAAAGAAGTGACAGGCCTGGGGTGTGATTCCCCACCATGACCTGTCCATTATGATCAGATCACCCTGTGAGGTTACTTTTCATAGAACTACTTTTTCATCCACAGACCCATGTGTTCTCTGGATATGGATGGGCCCCATGTGTTCTCTGGACATGGATGGGCCAAATGTAGTTGTATCATTATAACTACAGGAAATCCCGTAGTTGTAATTGTAAACTATCCCCCTTTTTTTAAAAAAGTAAAAAAGACCACCAGAATTTCAACCCATAGTTCTGATTCATCTTTGAAGGTGTGGAATCCAAATTTTGGAACCAAAAAGGACTCCCAGAAGTGCCCTCCAGCCCATGCTGTAGAGGCTCTGGGTCCCTGGGACAAATCTATATGGAGACTTCAGGTACCCAGGGCAGCCCAAGTTGGGACTTTGTACTAAGGGGGCAGCTGCAGCCCAGAGGGGATGAGAAACATGTTTCCCAAGCACATCTCACAGCAACTCTATGAAAAAGGGTCTCATGAAAGGCCTTTCTTTCTGGCTCTTAAGAACTTGCTCCTTTTGAGTCTCACTGTAAGCCATGGTCTGGTTTCTTCTCTCCTGTAGGAGGTAGAGCCTGCTGTCCCTGGTGGGGCTGTTAGACAGTTTCAGCCTGACCAGAGTTCATGGCAATAGAGGCGCCAACAGGTATTTCCCAGGATGAGACAATGAGCCCAGTGGTCTTTAAGCTCTTTTAATTTGGGTTCAACATTTTAGGAGCCCATCTGGTCCTATAACTTTATAAACAGGTGCCCGTCCCAGCACCTACATAAAACGAAAGTGTGAAGACTGTTCTAGTACTTTGCTTTTATTTGCCCACTATCCTCCCTCGGTGCCTGTCTCCTGTTAATGCAGCTCCCTTCACTGGGGAGAAATAGTCCTTTCTCAACATCCTCCTGGGGTCACTGGGGCCAGGCCAAGCGTGTAACTCTAACTCCCAGGGATGGCTCAGAAACCCACGCTGAACCAGTCAGAACCCTTCTCTGAGATTTTACATACAGATGCTGCCAGAGGCAAACGCCTTGCATCCGGGTTCTAGCTGCCTGATGCTATATCTCTGTGATGTGAAGTGGAAGAGAATAAAGTTAGCATTCAGGAGAGAGTTGACATAAGAAAAGGAGGTTCCATTCTTCTAAGGTGACCACAATTTCAATTTGTGTCATCCTTTCTAGGCATGTCTATGTGTAGCTTTTAGTTTAATTTCATTAATATTTCTTTTTTCATTATAAAAGTAAATCATGTTCATTGTAGTCAATGTGGGCAAAACAGAAATGAACTATTTCCACTAACAGTTATCATTATCGTCTTTTTCCTTCCAATCTTTTTTCTTTGCCTATTTTTTTTAAAGCAGTCTTAAGATTTTACTAAATATAGGTTTTGTTACTTAGATCTGTTATGTCTTATAGCTACCATGCAGGTCAAAATTGAGTTTCTAGTTGATGGCCTGGGGTCAATGTGGTCTATATTTAAAGGACAAGAAGTTATGTATGTTTTGCAGTAGGTTTTCTTGTTCCTACAGGGCACCATTTCCTCCACCTTTGTACAAATAGAAAGCTTCCTATGTTCCTCCATTGCCAAGACTAAATGATTCTACTGGTTTTCTGTTTCACTCAGGGAAAATGGAAGGAGCCTCTTTTCTTTAAACTGAGAACAAATATGAAAATCATATGGGCTCTTTTTCTTCCCCCAAACCATACCCAATTTTAGTAATAATTAAACACTCAAATTATTAAATCTGGGAATTTAGGTTTAATGGTTTTCTGAATTTCAGATTAGTCTGTGCCACAATGCGTGGTATTGGTGAGTAAAAACAAAACAAAGAAAAAGAATTTCTTTTGAATTAAAGACCAACAAACTAATGCAACAAGCAACAGTTTATTTTTTAAAAAAGGAAAAAAAAAACAAAAAGAAAAGAAAAACAACTTTTTACTACATCTTATAGATTAAGTAAAAATACTTGTATTAATATATATGTATATACATACTGCATATATATATATACATATGATATAACATTAAAATTACATGCTTCTCAGGACAGAAGAATAAGGACATTTCCTCATATGAATTTAAAACTGTATCACGATTTAAAATCACTGCAAGATTAAACTTGTTTCCTTTATTTTCTTTTTTTAGACTTCAAGTACAGGAAATTATCAAACCAGGATCTAAACGTGGAGAACCATCTGCTATGCACGAATGACAACAGACTGCCACAAATCATGAGTCAGGGGTTGTCTGAACTCTCATACAGCTCTTCATAACCCTACAACTGTGTCAACCTTCTACCTGAGATGAGAGGGAATGATAAAGCATGATGGTCTGTAGTTTCCATGTGGATGTTCACATTGACGTTTAAACAAAAGCTAACAAACACGTCTTATCATAGCAACAACACTGGCCATGAAATCACTCTAGAGGAGGATTCCTTTCTCCCCTTTCCTTGCCAAATAAAACATAAACATTGCTGGGGGGAGGGGGGGAAACAGCAACAACTCAGGGTGAAGCACCTCTGGCGATGATCAGCATACAGCAAGGGACAGAGAGGGAGCGTTTCCTTTGTGACAGCTCCTGGCTGACTTGGATGATTGCAAACACACCCTCATCTGCAAAAGGCACTCACATATTGTCTATTTATAAATCATACAGTGGGAGTCCATACATGGGAGAGGTTTTCCTACAAATATAAAAAAGATAAGCTGAGGACATGGTGTAATAAAGAAAAGAGTATAAGAAATGCACATTTTGGATAAATGTGCGCTTTTTATTTAAAGGACAATCAATATAGTAGTTAAAAAATTTTCATTGAAAAGTTAGGAATTCCGGTGAAATTATCGGTAAGAAGCAAGGTATTAGAGGCTGAGAGATGGAGTCCAGAACATAGAGAGGAGAGACAGTAGCTTTTCAAATGGCCAAAGTAAAGGGTATGGTCAGCTCATAAACTAGAAAGACCATCCACTCACAATGGAATGTATGAGAGAGAAGGAGGAAGTGGGAGAGAAACAGGTGAAGCTGGAGGGAGGGTGGCATCCTTCTGTGTGTGGGCACAGGAAGGGATGTACCCAGAATCTCCAATGGGAAAGATGGGCTGCAACTCTCTTGCTTCTGCAGTCTGAAGAGACCCTGCCCAAGCCAAGACTGCCCTCACCGGGATACAACCGAGCTAATGGAATTATAAGACGTGCCACTGTTGCAGCTTGAGGCGTAGGCTTCCTGGCCATTGCCATCGAGGTTGATTTTGAACACAGAAGACGCCTTCAGTAGAAAGTCTGCGGCATCCCGGCGCCCCAGCTCCCGCAGTTTGGACATGAGGATGCCGACTGTGCTTTCAGGGTAGGAGGTCCATTCCCGGAGTAGGGCATGGACTGGGCTCGGCAGGAACTCCTTGGGAGCCCCATTATTGGTGTTGTACTTTGCCACAAGGTCGGGGAGGCCCAAGTTCATGGCGAGAAGGCACCAGTCCTTCCCCATGGGATCGGGCGGGTCCAGCAGACGACTAAGTTTCCTCCGGGTCAGAAGGTTCAGATCTGATGCGTGGATGTCCATCCCTAGGCTGGCCTGTGAGTAGATGTCGTGACACCCAAAGCACATGATGCTGCTAAAGCTTTCCTTGTACCCACCCATGGTGTTAGTCAGCGAGGTCTCCTTCAGGGTCTGTGCCCGGAAGAAGTCTCGTGGCTGGTAGATCATGATGGGCTCGTGATGCTCCCTCAGCTGCTGGGGGCTCAAGTAATGCTTTACCGTCAACAGCCCCGGCAGCGTGGTGGCCATGACGTTCTCGATGGTGCTGCACACCGAGTCCAGCAGGAGGCAGCACTTGATCTTTTCCGTCTCCAGCCCTCGCACTTGGACCTCGATGCCCTGGCCGTGGTTGACCAGGAGCACCAGAAGCTCAGCCCCACGGTTGGCTATCTTGCAGCCGCTGACCCACAGGCGAATGTCGGCATCTCCCTCAGCACTCTGTTGGTGGATCCACCGGCAAAGATTCACCTGAACCTTGTGAAAGATGCCACATGGGAAGGGGGTGAGGTGCTCCACGGGGACAATGCGCACACCACCGTAGACCATCACCTCGTCCTCCTCGTCTGTCCAGGAGCGGTGCAGGTTGTCTGTCTTGATCAGGGCGGGGATGTCGACCATGGTCCCACTGCTCAGGTCCCGGGCACAGATGTCCATGGCATCTAGGATCTGCAGCAGCTCCTCTACGTCGCTGTCAGGCACCAGGCGCTGGACATCCTCCATGGTGTAGCGGCCCCGGTAATGGTGGAGGGCCCGTGGGGTCTCCACGGAGAGCAGCTTCCCCAGGACGTTGGTACAGAGCCAGCGGGGGTCCAGGAGTAGCACATCCTGAACTGTTTCACTTTGCATGATGTTGATCTGCCAGAGGGGACAACAGAATGTCACACATAGGAACCTAAATGAATAGAGGCACCAGCTGCACAGAGAACAAAAGAGACTGAGCAGTGACAAAATCTGAGCAGATGTCATAAGGAATGACCCAGATTATTTCATATGGCTGGATCTCAAAAATCAATTACTAAGCCAAAAAAACAGCTTGAGGTCACAGATATTTTGAAAAGACCACGGATTCTTAAAAATGATCAATGTAATGAAAGATGACAACAACAAAAAAGAGAGATGGCAGCTAGCCAAATGGAAATTATTGGCACAAGTGACAAACATTTGAATAAGGACTATATATTCAGTGATACTATATCAATGTTGTGTGTCCAGAATATGATAATATGTTACATTGTAGTTATGTGGGAAAATGTCCATTTCTTTAGGAGATACAGGCTAAATTATTTAGGGGAGAAATGTCATGATGCTTGCAAAATAAAAAGTAAATAAATAAAAGAGAGAGAGGATAAAAGCAAATGTAGCAAAATGTAAACAACTAGGTGAATTTAGGTGTAGAGTACGTGAGGGTTTGTTGTACTGTTCCTGCAACTTCTCCGAAGGCTTGCTATTTTTCAAAAAAAGATTTAGAATATTATACTATACTGTAAAGTTTTCACAAACATACATAAAAAGTTCAGGAAAGACACGCCGCCACCATGACAGTGATTGGCCCTGGAGAGAAGAAAGAGGGAGGAACGAGACTAGAGGTGGTGGTCAGAGAGGACTTGGGCTTCACCAGTCACGTTTATTTCTTTAAAAAGCAAAAGTCAGAAAGAAAAAAATGTGACGAAAAAATAGAAGCAACTTCCCCCGTTAAGGAACACTTACCCCTCCTCTCCACTCTCCCTGTTCAGGACTAGTTCTACAAATAGTGGTGCTCCAAGGCGAGCTCTTTTCTCACACAAAAGCTCAGACTCTGGACCTGTTTGCAGCAGGAGTATTTTTCTGCCTATAGTCTGGTTTAAATCTTTGAGAACCGTCCATATAGAATTCTGTTCAAAATTGAGTCTTAGATTGAAAATTTTTGGAGGGTAGAGACTTTGGGTCCAAAATGATGGGGTAGGAAGAATCTGAACCCACCTGCTGCCAAGAACACATCAAATTTACAAGTACAGAGCGATTCCCCATGAAGAAGAACTGAGGGCTGACTAGAAAGCTCCCGCACAATAAATGAGAGAGAGACCACATAGAAACAGGTAAGAAAGATGGAGATGAAGTACTGTGGGAACCCCATCCCCAAAGCACTGACCTGAAGTAGGGACAGATTATTGAAGAGCTTGTGCACAGAATCTGGGGCACGGCGAAAAAACAGTGGTTTAAAGGGCACCTAATCTCTATGGGAAGGAAATCCATTAACTAATCCTAGAGCATCTGCCAAATGAGAGGGGACTGTGTCAGAGGCACTGGAGAGAGTCATTTGTGGCCCTCTCCCCTTGATCGCATGGGCAGGAGCACGATACAGGCACTCTAGTCAGCCCTCCATGACCGTCAGAGTGCACAACAGGTCCGTGGCTCACATTAGCCTCTTGGCTTGTCTTGGGACTCGTAACGGCCCACGCCCACTCCAACTACAACTCCAGACCCCCGATTTGGCTTATTCCAGGGACTTCCTGTAGACCACAGTGCTTTTAGCTACAGCTCCAACTGGCCTACCAAGGTGGCCCTGGTGCAGCTTGCCCAGGGAACTCCCCTCGGCTTGTACTTGCTCCAGCTAAAGCTCTGGTCTCTGTCTTGGCTTGCCTCCTAGCCCAAGCCCGTTCCAGCTCCAGCTCTAAGCCTCAGCAAGGCTTGCCCCAGAACTCCATAGTGTTTGTTCCTGCTCCTGCCCCAACCAGCCTGCCAATGAGGCCTCAGTGCAGCTTGCCCCCAGGTCTCCTGGTGGCCCACGCCCCCTCCAGCTCAAGGTCTAGCTGGCTAGCGATAGACACCTGGAACATGCAGTCTACATAGGAGAAGCTCCTACACAAGGCTTCTCCTTCAAGACCAGGAGAGGTTGCTCTTTCACCTAATTTATATTAACAAACATAGAGAGACAGCCCAAATGAGGAGACAGAAAAGTAAGTTCCACATGAAAGCCAGAACAAAACCTTAGAACAAGAACTAAATGAACCAGAGATAAGCAATCTAGTAGATAAAAAGTTCAAAACACTGGTTATAAGGATGCTCAATGAACTAGGGGAAAAATAGATGAACTCAGTGAAATCTTAAACAAAGAGATAGAAAATATAAAAAAAGAAACAATCAGAACTGAAGAATACAGTAACCAAAATGAAAAAAAAATTCACTAGAGGGAATCAACAACAGATTAGTTGACATAGAAGGATGAGTCAGCGAGCTGAAAAACAAGGTTGTAGAAATCACCGAATTGAAGCAGCAAAAAACAAAAAGAATTAAAAAGAAATGACGATAGTTTAAGGTACCTCTGGGACAACGTCAAGCAAATCAACATTTGAATCATAGAGGTTCCAGAAGGAGAAGAGAGACAGAAAGAGACAGAAAACCTACTTAAAGAAATAATGGCTGAAAATTTCCCCAACCTGGTGAAGGAAACAGACATTCAAGTCCAGGAAGCATAGAGAGTCCCAAACAAGATGAACGCTAAGAGACCCACACCAAGACAAATCATAATAAAAATGCCAAAAGTTAAAGATTAAGAGAGAATCTTAAATGCAACTAATAACGTACAAGGGATCTTCCATAAGGCCATCAACTGATTTTTCAGCAGAAGATGCACAGGCCAGAAAGGATTGGCGCGGTATATTCAAAATGATGAAAAGGAAAACCTACAATGAAGAATACTCTATCCAGCAAGGTTACCATTCAGAATTGAAGGAGAGATAAAAAGTTTCCCAGAAAAACAAAAGATAAACGAGTTCATCATCCCTAAACTGACTTTAAAAAAAATGTTAAAGGGACTTCTTTAAGTGGAAAAGAAAAGGCCAAAACTAAAAATAAGAAAATATAGGAAAGAAAATCATCTTACTGATAAAAGCAAACATTTAGTAAATGTAGTGGGTCAACCATAAAAAGCTAGTATGAAGTTTAAAAGTAACCACAACCACGAACCTATGATACGCAAAACATTTTTTTTTAAAAAAGAACCCAAACGGATCATCAAAGGAAGTCATTAATATACAAGAAAAGACAGCAAAAGAAGAAAGGAACAGAGAACTGCAAAATCAACCAGAAAACAATTAATAAAATAGCAACAAATATATAACTATCCATAATTACTTTAAATGTAACTAAACTAAACGCTCCAATCTAAAGACATGGGGAGGCTGAGTATATGAAAAACAAGACCAGTGCACATGATGCCTACAAAAGAGTCACTTCAGACCAGAACACACGCACAGACTAAAAATGAAGGGATGGAAAAAGATATTGCATCTAAATGAAAAAAAAAAAAAACCTGGTATAGCAATACTTATATCAGACAAAATAGACTTTAAACAGACAAAGATGGGCATTACATAATAACAAAGGGATCAATCCAACAAGAGAATATAACACTTAGAAATATCTACACATCTAACACAGAAGCATCTAAATACATAAAGCAAATATTAACAGATATAAAAGAAAAGATCAACAGTACTGCAATTATAGTAAGGAGACTGTAAACTTGCTTACATCAATGGACAGATCATGCAGACAAAAGATCAACAAAGAAACAGTGGCCATAAATGACACATTAGATCAAATGAACTTTCCAGCCCAAATCAGCAGAACATTCCAGCCCAAATCAGCAGAATACACATTCTTTTCAAGTGCACATGGAACATTTTCCAAGATAGACCACATGTTAGGCCATAAAACAAGTCTCAGTAAATTTAAGAAGATTGAAATCACATCAAGCATATTCTCCAATTGCAGCAGTATGAAACTGGAAATCAATTACCAGAAAAAACTAGAAAAAAACCATAAACATGTGGAGGCCAAACAATATGCTATTACGCGATCAATGGGTAAATGAAGACATCAAGGAGGAAATTTAAAAAAATATTGAAACAAATGAAAATGAAAATACAACAATGATGCAAAAGCAGTTCTCAGAAGAAAATTCATAGTGAAACAAGAAATAAAAAAAACTTAAATAATCTAAACTTATACTTAATGAAACTAGAAAAAACAAACAAACAAAAAACCCAAAACCCAAAGTAGAAGGAAGGAAATAATAAAGTTCATCACAGAAATAAATGAAATAGAGACTAAAAAATAATAGAAAAGATCGAATGAAACTAAGAGCTGGTTCTTTGAAAATATAAACAAAATAGATAAATCTTTAGCCAGATTCATCAAGAAAAAAGACAGAGAGGGCTCAAATAAATAAAATCAGAAAGAGAAGAGACAACCCACACCACAGAAATACAAAAGATTATAAGAGAATAGTATGAGCAATTATACAACAACAAATTTGACAACCTAGAGTAAATGGATAAATTCCTAGAAACATACGATCTTCCAAGACTGAATTTTGTTTCTAGTAACCAGTCTGTTCAGATTTTCTGTTTCTTCCTGATTTGATCGGTAACCAAGAAAACTCCCAACAAATAAAATTCCAAGACTAGCCGGCTTCTCAGCTGAATTCTACCAAGCATTCAGAGAAGAATTAATATCTATCCTTCTTATACTATTCCAAAAAAAACGGAAGAAGGAAAGCTCCCAAACTCATTCTACTAGTATTACCCTGCTAGTATTACCTCCCAGAATCCTGCGTGGACTCATGGAGCCCTTACCTCGCCAGTACTGTGGAGCTGCTGGGCTATGCACCTGAGGTCCTCCTCGCTGGCCAAGGGGTTCAGCTGGTCTTGCACGTCATACACAAACTGCTGCAGCGACATCAGCTGGTTGGGCCCATTGAGCTTCCTCCAGGAAGGCAGCGTGGAGATGATTTTCTCACACAGGTGAGTCATCAGAGGGCAGACCTAGGACATGTAGGACAGGACAGGACAATTTACAGCTCTGGGGACTCAGGAGGAGCCTAGATAGGCATTCATGGAGACTGTTGTTGAAATATTATTTCAATTTAGACTAATTCTTGGTAACTGTCTTGATATAGGCTTTTAATCTTTTAACTTGGTTAAGTAAGTCAGTCTATGTTCAGACTCATATACTCAACACATCTTCCTAATTAAAAACCACACCAGCCATACACTGTAGCACTCCAACATTCATCAGGCAGTCCCCTCTAGGATCATAGCTTTTATGTCAGCTAAATTCCACTCGCCATTCAAAAAACTCAAAATTCTCAGGGATAAAGGCAGTTTGTTTGGTGATTTCCAACTGCCTGACCTCAGGAGTTAAGGGAGGAGGGGTGTGAAGCAGACATACTACCACCCCTAGCTCAAGGGCTCCCTACAGCCCAGAAGCCTCATCTCATGGGTGGGGAGGCGCTGGGAGCCCTTCATAGACCACTGCTCCTGATCATCACCCACTGGTTTCTGTGACCAGGTTCCTGCCAGATGACTCCCCACCTGCCGAATGTGCCATAATGGGGCCCCATCAGAAAGCAAGGGCCTGGCTTCCTGAGAGAGGAGAGGGTTCCCGAAAATTCCAAAAGCACGTCTGGAAGTGGAGCCTGGTGTGTGAAGAGGCATTTATCGGCCTGGCTGGGGAAGGAGAGGCACGTATTTGTTTACACTCAGGCGTGGGTTGCAGGAACATTCTAGGGGCATTCTAGCCTTTTGCCACTGCAATGTTTGCCCTTTTCACACCAATTTCAGAGATCTTTTTGAATAATATAGATAATAATCGTTTATGTGTCAAACCCATTGAGAATATTTTCCCTAGTCTATCTCACCTTTTAAACTTTGTTTTTAGAATTTATTTGCCAGTAAATTTTTTTTTACCTTTCATATTGTCAAATAGGTAAAATTTCTTTGAAAACTTCCGGGGTTTTCTATCTGCATTTGAAAGGTTTCCCAAAGCAGTTCTGAGTTATTTTAAATTATATTCTCTTACATTTCCATTAAAGATATTGTTCTATTGTTTTACATTTAAAAGCTTTAATCCACCTAGAATTTATTTTGGGGCTATGTAGTGATTAGGAGTTCAACCTTATTTCTGGCAAATAGCCATTTGTGCTAAAATCTTTATTAAGTAAACATTTTCCTCATTAAATTGAAATAATATCATTGTTTATTGATTACAGAGACTTTATAATATGTTTTATTTATTCTATTAAAATTTTAAGATTAAAAAAAAAGTTTTCTCAATCCCATTCAGGTACTAACTGGAATTGTATTAAGTTTATATATTTTTGGGAAAACGAAACATTTACTAAGATCTTGTCATCCGAGAACACAGTCTCATTCCATTTGTTCGTCTATTATTTTATGCCCTTCGATAAATGTTGTTCGTGACTTTTTTTTTACTTTCCTGCATTTTCTAAATATTTCACAAGAAATCACTTTTGAATTGCTTTTGTAATTTGTAAAAAGCAGTTTTACTTTTAAGCAGACCACTAAAACTGTCAGAATTTCCTACACTCTAAGGTGGTCTACTTTGCCCATAACCCCTTCATTTCGTGGCCATCTCCTTGTTTCTCTGCTCTTCCTTCCTCATCCCAGAGCAATAGAATAAAAACGTGTCCAAGCAGCCACCTTGTATTGGGCCCCCTGGAACCCAAATCAAACCAAGAGGGCAGCACAAAGAGGCCCGCCGGGGTCACTGGATGGGCTGGGCAAAGGGTGGATTCCCACCGTCTCCAGGTATACTCACCGAAACAATTTGGCTCCGTATTTCCTGCAGGTGATTTCGAAGTACCTTCATGTCCTTAGACCCAGAAGCCCCAGCATCCAGAACAAAGAGCTTATCTGAAACGTGAAGATCGTTCCCAAACCTAAGGGAAGAGTGGTAGCCTCAGGAGAGTGATGCAGTTTCGCCAGATGTTTCCATAGCAGGACCGGGCTCCTGCTGGCCTGAAAGGCTGCTTGGAGGCCAGGAAGCTCTGGTGACCTTGAGAAGGCCCCCCTCCCTGCTGTTTACTGGGCACTACAACGTTACACTGGGGCAGAAGCCTGGAGACACCCGCATGCTTTCAGCCATGCAGATGGGCACCGTGGGTCCCACAAAACGGCAGGAACACAGAATGGAAAGATATCAGCTGCCCTGACGAAGGAAAGGTGAGGCTTTATGTGCTCACCTTACAAGTAGAGAAAAGATACAGTTACAGTCGATGGAGTAAGAATAGAGGGATGAGTATGAGAGTTAGAACTTAGATCTAAAAATATTAGTAGAAGCCCTATTTTTCATATCGGGAAGATAACAAATAAGTGTCTTCATTTGATTAGCAGAATTTTATTTGTATAATATGCTACAGTTACTAGCATATTATATAGAGCTGCAGGTTCAAACTTTCTGTGGACAGACACTCAGTAGAAATATGTATTTTTTTACATGGCGATCCTGTGTGCATCCATATATAGAAGTGAAACAAAAGTTTTACGAAACTACTTGTCATGAAATGTGCTCTGATAGTCTCTGCGCCATCCCACTCTATCCCATTTTAAAGAGTTGACCTAGACCACCTAAATGAATTTCATCATCCACTAGTGGGTTGCAACTCATATTTTGAGAAATATTGATCAGTGGTTATCATGATAATCATCAAAAAATCTTAAGGCTAAAACAACTAAAAGAACTAAGAATCTAATGCAGAACAGAGTGACAACAGTTGATGATAATGTATTTTATAATTTAAATTTGTTGATAGTGGAACTGAAATGTCCTTGTCAAAAAAAAAAAAGAGAGTAAGAAAGATAAAAAATGTGAGCTGATGGATATTTTCATAAACTAGATAGTAGGAATCCTTTTACAATGTAAATATATATCAAATCACCACAATGTACACTTTAAATATCTTATAATTCTATCTGTCAATGATAACTCAATAAAACTGAAAAAAAAAAAAAGCCATAAAATATTCATTGCTTTGATAAAAATGAAAAATGCAACCAAAGAAAGCAACCAGGGACAAGAGGCCTTTAATTTCTTTAATTCCTTTTTCTGTTCACAGGACTTTGGTTATATTTTCCCTGAAGATCCAGCATCTGCTGCTTACCTGTTCCTGATCTCTTTCAGCAATGTCGTGTCTTTGTCATATCCAAACTCGCCTCCAGCTGGACGAGGAACGTTCATGATGTCAGCGTGGGTGGCCACCAGGACAACTCGGAGTGGGTTCTTCAGCTTGCCGCCAAAGGCTGGGGGCAGAGAGAGAACCGTTTTAGAGATAGGTCCACTTTCGTGACTGCCTCTTCTTTCTAGCTGAGGAAGAGTGTGCTCGCTGGCCTCAGGCCCAGGCTGTCTCTGCAGGTGGATGTGCAACTGCCTGAAAATTTGAGGGCCCCATGCCTGCTGTGTCAAGTAACCTCTGGGCCCCAGGCCAGGCCAAAAACAGAATGAGCCTATTTCCTGGGCCTCAAGGAAAGTTATTCAGAAATGGATCAGAACCAACCACAGAACAGAAGGCAGCTTCTCAGATCTATCTCCAAATAGGCCTTACTTGCATGGTGAGGGGAGATCTAACCTCTGACCGGGGGTTGCCCTTCACAAGACCAAAGAAAGCCCTCTGAATGTAGTAACACCACAGAAATGACTCAGAAGAGAAACTCCTGCAATTTACACAGGCAGAGAGCCTCTCACTTCTCGGAGTGCTTAAGACGAAAACATGAAAGAAAAAAAAAGAAACAAAGAGATAAAGTAGTGGTACCCTAAGGGGAATTAAGCTCAGTTTATTTGATTATTATAAACTTTTCAAAGAAAAAACTGACTGCTGGATATGTGTTTTGCCAGAGAAGGCTGCTGCTTTTGTTGTATGAAAAGAACAAAGGACGTTTATTCCATACTATCTTCTTCTCTAAGATAAAGTTAGGATAATGCATTCAGTCACTGTGGTCCCTTTTCTTCCATTCTTGATGGAACTATAGAATGAAGGAGAGCTCATTCTGCTTGTGAATTATGTACCCGTGAGGTAAAGGTACAGGAACTATCAATGGAGGTATTCCATTTTGCACCCTACAAAAGTGATCACAGCTCTAATATACAGAGAGAGAGAGAGAAAGGGCTCTCAAGAACTTGCTCAGAATTGGGTCTTTGTCGCAAAAAATATGTGAGCACGAAACAATTTCCTGCAGAACAAAATGAACAGTCGGACCTCAGGGAACTTCTGGAGTGGAAATCTTCTATTAGGAAGAAGATTTCCACTTCTATTAGGAAGGAGGAATGAAGGGAGCCACAAGCTAGGATCCAAGCAAAGCCAGGGTACAAGGCCAGCGGAAAAGGTGCTCGCTCACCCAGGGAAGTCTCAGCTTACCTATGGGTTCTTCAACTGGCACGAGAGACTTCAGGAAACCGAGCCAGAAAATCACTTGATTCAACTGGATTTCATAGGGTTCTTCTAGACTAAAAACGATGACATGGATTGATGTGGGATCATTTGCAGCAAAATAGTCATAAGAGCAGAAGTATACAGGATTTCCAGAGAACTCCCACACACTGAAATCGCCAACTCCTACAGAGAAAAATAGAGATTACTTTTGTGAAACAGCACCACCAGATTTCAATCACAATTTTTCTTAGCACTTTAGGGGTTACCAGTAGGGATAGTGTCATTTGTTTATCTATGCATCTACTTAAGTGTGGATCTACATATGTAAGACTGACATAGCTCAATGATATATATCTTTATCTGTTTCTATATCCATAGCTTTCATCTCTGTATCAGTGAATCTATCTATATCTACTTATCTATTTTCCTAAACACCTTCATTATTATATCTGTATCTATATCTCTACCATATTTACTTATAGTACCCTGAATGGTACACACACACACATATAATATTCCCCCTCGCATGTGCATGCCTATAATCATACATGGAAATGTGTGTGTATACATATATTGGTAGATAAAAAATAAGAAAGAACCACCTGGGGAAAGAACAAACATCCATCATGTCCCTTACACAGAAGCATGAGTTATGCTATAGTACATCCCAATGGATAGCAGAATTCACACAGTGAAAGAACATGTGATGGGCTTTGTATCCTTAAGTAAGTATAAATTCTTTTTGGAAAATGACTATATAAAATATTGAACATAAAAGTTGCTATGAAATGTAACCTTAATCTTGGTTAAATAGTGACTAAATTCATCTTCCACAGGCGAGGGAGCAACATGTTCAGGTCAGTCGGAAGCAAGCGGGCTGTCTGCACAAGTGTAAGATGCAGCAGTCGACTGACAGGTCGGGCAGGGCTGGGAGGTTGAGTGTAGTGGTGAGCAGTTGCTCTCCCACACCTGAGCTGTGGGTGCGGCTGGTTTTCGCAGAAGTGTCTGCGGGTGAAATTCTGACCTAATAACCATGGACTTTCATTCTATTCCTTGAGGGCTAGTGGTTTTCAAAGTGGAGTTCTCAGACCAGCAGTAGCAACAACACTTGGGAATCCCCCGGGCCTGCTGAAACAGAAGCTCTGGGGGTAGGGCCTACAGTCTTTGTTTTCACAGGCCTCCAGGAGATTCTCATGCTTCAAAACCTCCAGGGGTTTAAGAACCATTGCTTTAGGCCACACACACGGAGTAGTCTATTTCTTACTGGGTTTGGGATAATAAAAGAGCCTTCATGAAGATGCTCCCAACTGCCATTATTTGAATGCCTCCCTGTGCCAGCTGCTGTACTAGGCCCTTAATAAACATCAGCTCATAAAGTCCTCACAGATGAGGGAACTGAGTCTCAGGAAATTGCTTTATCTCTGCTCTAAACTGGATCTCAACAAGGCAGGGGCCCGTGTTCAAGTGACTTGGGTGCAGGTAGAAGTCCTGGGGTCGGTGGGGGAGCGCCCAGGGGGTGTTATAGAGAAGATGCAGTGGTTGCTGGAAGGAGTAAACCAGCTCTGGTAACATTTAAAACTTTACCCCTTGGGAATTTCTGAGAGCAAAGAACATACTTGAAATTTTGCTTATGGAAAAGAAATTGCTTGTGTTTGTATTAGAGCATTAGCCACGGCTTTAGATATATTTAAAAATAATTCTTCTTGGGTATATCAAACTGCTAGAGGGATTGTATTTTATGAGATTTCCCATCCAATTGAATGTTTAGCTCTACTTTAAAAAAATATATTAATTTACTCAACAGTTCTTTATTAAGTACCTACTTTGTGCCCAGTGCTTCTCTAGGTACAGAGGACACCTAGCTTTACTTTTTAGGGGTACTGACCAGCCCTGCTTCAGTCCTGGGTCAATCCCAATATCACTGCACTGGCTCCCGCTCTGTGCTTAGTGGGGCTGTGACGGATGCCCACCGGGACAGGCTTCCTTAGGGTAATTACTTACAGCCCTGGCAAAAGGACACTTGAAGTCCTTCTCTTTTGGGGTGGGTGGGACATACCATTCAAATAGGCGTTCTGGATGTCGATGGCCTTAGTGGACTGGTCATCAGCAGAGCAGTGCGAGTGGTGGGACGGGGCCACAAACACCTCCAGCATCCCCTTGGTGAGGCCCGGCTCAAACATCATGCTGCGGCTCCTCACGCTCACGTTCTCGCAGCCCGGGTACAGGTTGTTGATGCTCACGGACACTGCAGGCCAGAGAGGAGCCGTCAGAGCTGCACAGGGCAGTGTGCGTACCTGCTCTCCCTCCCAACCTTTCCCTATGTGTGGTCCTGTTCCAGGACGCTCTGTCCCTACCCCACTCCTGCTTCAGGCGGGATTGTGATCGTGCCCCTTGTGATGTTTTGTGCGGTAACTTTAGTAACTTTCCCAGAAATGTTGTTTCTGTTTGCTTTACCTCCCAGGTCCCTTTCCTGTGCTCTCTGTGCCAGGAGGGGCTGACTTGCTTGCCATTTGCCACTGGTTGGGGTCAGTCAGCGGGAGGCACTGGAGAGGCTGCGAGGAAAGGCAGAGGCATTTCCTCCTTCCTCACCACCTGCTGCTTCTCTGATACCAGTGTGTTTCTCTGACTCCAGACACCTCCACCCCACTCCAGCCGAGTGGCTTTACCCTGGAGCTCCAGTTTTTCCAGAAACACTATTTCTTCCTCTTGTTTCTTCAGCTCCCCTGTATTCTTAACCTCCAGATGCTTCACTGTCTCTTGGATGTTCATGTGAATTTTGCCGGACCCTGACTGTTGCAGATGAGACGAGTACCACTTTGGTACGATTGTTTCAGATTGAATGAAAAATGATTTTAGACAGTACCAGGCCATGGCATTAAATAATGCTGAATCCCACAATGATAAAATCGTTCCTTTTTAAATTCCCTTGAAGGCCTTTGAATTGCTGTAGCAGCCAGTCTCAATGTGGCATTAAGTCTTCAGCATTTCTTCAATCCTTACTAATCTTCCCTTTTAATAAAGAGGGAGCAGGCAACAGTATAGAGCTAGATTTTAATCACATTGTTTGCTGTTCATTACATTTATTTTATTTATGGCAGTGGTATTGCTTTTCCATTAATGGTAAGGATATTAACTATTTCATTTTCATATCGATGTGTTTTAGCAAATAAAAAAAGTGAATCAGTTTAACAAATAGTACATAAATAATAAGAGTGTCACTTGAGGGGACAGCTGAATAAGATAGTACGTATCCCCTGTGTCAGGGCAGAGCCTGTGGGTCTCCAGGAACAGTACCCTGTGCTCACTCGCTATCACACTGTTCGCTGGCCTGCTCTTCTCTCCCAGCGGAGTTGCCAAGGCAGAGGCGGTCTGTCCACTTCAGCGCTCGGACTTGGGGCAGCCAAAGTGTGGGCTCCGCTAGTGCATCGAGGGAGGGGCCTGTGAGCTGAACTGTACCCTACCAAAGTTAGTACTTTGGTTCACGGTTAATAGCCACAGACATTGCAAAGTACTAAAGAAAGGAGCATTTCACCTGGGCCTCCTGACTTTAAAATTGGTGATCCAAACAGAAAGGTAACCCCTTGTTTAAAGGGCGAAGATTTTAGACCGAGGGCACGGGCACTGGAAGAGGGGAAGATGAGGATGAGAAAAGTGGAGGTCAAGGGCAGAGTCAGGTACAAGGGCAAGGGGAAGGGCAATAAGATGGTAAGAATTCTTCATATATATTTGTATTTTTTTCTGATTGTGTAAGTGGAACACTTGGCAAGCAGAAATGTAAAGAAAAATGATTCTATTCCCAGCGGCCATGTGGTTGACATCTTAGTGTATTTCTCTGCAGACTGTTACTCCAGGTCTGAAAAAAGGTATGGGGTTTCACAAGAATGGGTTTTGTCCATTTCCTTGTGCTATGAAACCTGTGTCCGGGACGACTGCTGTCAGGAACAAACCTTGTCTTAGTGGCACTGTGGGCTCCTGCTTGCCAAGGGTGAGCTGACCAGAATATGAGAAATAACAGGCAT